CGATAACCAACCCAAGTTCTCACCTATTTTTACCTATAAGTGTCGGTATTGTTCTTCCAATACCAATCCCCTTGCCCATAACTTATTCATTTTAACAATAAAATTAACTATACTCAACTAAATTCCTCATTTTACTCTTCTTTCAAGTCTTTAAACTCAACCACACTTATTCAAATCAACTTATTTCACTTTAACTCATCCTAACATTTAATATCCTACATACTCACTTGAATTCAATAATCATACCAATTTGTCAATATGTTCCAAATTCATTTCTAACCATTTAAATTTCTTATTCTGACTGATGACAAGTCAAATTTAACCTCAAACTTCATTTATCAACTCTTTATCAATAATTCACTTAAAAAATTCTTATATTCAATCTCACATAACTTGCAAATCTTTTAGTTTTTACTTCTCTTTAAGCTTCCTTAAGCTTTCTTAATACCCAAAGAATCAAAAACCATCATAATTTATAAGAAATAACCAATTTGAGCATTATTTACCTTTGCTATTAAGACATGGGAAGAGAAGAAGAAGAAGCTCCAAGACTCCAGATTTTTCTCTACCTTTTTTTTCTTTCTTTCTTTCCACGTGGATATAAAGAAACCTAAATGAATTTTTAATTCATTTCTTATCAAATGACCATTATACCCTTTCATCTTTCAAATTTTTATTATTAAATCCTACACCAAGAAATTCTAATTAAGTCCCTAAACTTTTCGATTAATTTGAATTGACCATAAAATTTTAGAATCTTGCACTTTGCTCACTAGCTCGATTTATGGGATGTTACATGAAATATGCCTTTCTAGGAGAGAATGAGACCTTATCGATAATCATCTCAAATAAGTTATCCGAAGAAAAGGAAGAAGCATTGGTGAAGGTGTTGCGCGCACACAAGGAAGTCATAGGATGAACTATTGCCGACATTAAGGGACATAGTCCTTCGACTTGCATGCACAAGATCAAGGTTGAAGAAGGAAAAAAGTCATCACAAGGACAACATCGACTAAATCCACCAATGATGGAAGTGGTAATGAAGGAGATTCAGAAACTTCTTGATACTGACATGTTTTATCCAATTTCGGATAGTAATTGGATAAGTCCGATTCATGTAGTTCCCAAGAAAGCAGGAGTTACAATGATCGAAAATCAAGAAGGCGGTTGGCGAGTCTGCATTGATTACAGGAAGTTGAACTCTCTCACAAGAAAGGACCATTTTCTTCTTCCCTTTATAGATCAAATGATTGAGAGATTAGCTGGGAAAACTCATTACTATTGCCTTGATGTTTTTAGGTTTTTCTAGATCCAGTGGAACTAGAAGAACAAGAAAAAACAACTTTTACCTATCCATTTGGTACGTTTGCATATCATCGGATGCCCTTTGGCCTTTGTAATGCGGCAACTACTTTCCAAAGATGTATACTGAGTATCACTTTTAACTATGTGGAGAAGGGCATCAAATTCTTCATGGATGACTTCATGGTTTATGGTAATTATTTTCGTGAATGTCTTGATAATTTAACTAATGTACTTAAGAGATGTTTAGAATTTAATTTTGTCGTGAAGTATAAAAAATGCCATTTTATGGTTGATAAGGGATTAATTCTAGGACATATTGTTTCATCTGAGGGTATTGCCCTTGATAAAACCAAAACATATATTATACACTCACTACCTTACCCTACAACTGTGAGGGAGGTTCATTCTTTTCTTGGCCATGCAGGTTTCTATTAGAGATTTATTAAAGATTTTTCAAAGCTGGCGCAATCATTGTGTGAGCCATTACAAAGAGCTTGAAATTGAGTTAGGAACACTCTATACAACTTAAATTTACTAAAAACAAGCTTAAAACTCTTGATTCATCTAAACCCCTTAAAAACTCATGTTTGTAATCTTAACCAAAACTTAAGATTTGGGGCTTGAACTGAAACTTTAGGGATAGAGATTAAAGTTCTTACCTTGGTTGACTCAAACTAGGCTTGAAATCTCAAAGGCTCTCACCATTTTCTTGTTCTTGAGAAGGAAAGGAAGAGAAAAAAGAAGAAGAAAAGATAAGTGATTTGGTAACCTTTAGTTCACGTGAAAAGCACCTAAAATGAGGGGGTTTTATCCTTTAAAACAAGCAATGGTTAAATTGCTCTTTTGGTCATTCTCCTTTTAACCCAATTAAAAAGCATCACTTGCTTTTAACTCTTGGGCCAAACATAAGCCCAATACTCTCAAAATTGGTCCAAATTGGTTTAGGAGATCAAATGGACTCGACTTATAGGTCTCGTGTTGACCCGAACTACTGACTCGGGGTTCAGGGCATTACATACATGGATTATGATCCTGTATATACTCTTTAAAAACTTTAGGGAACTTAACCCCGCCACTTCATTAACAATTCAACACAAATAAATTAAAATCCATATCCATTAAAATAAAAGGGCAGAGAGCAAGAAATCTTACTGGTTACCTCCAGACATTTCCATATTTTGCTCACCTTCACCACTACGATGCATCACCTAGTTCTAGATGTCGTTAAGGACTCCCTCCATTGCGGCTTAGACATGTTTCATGGATGTAGATGTCATTCTACTCTTACGACCCTTAGTAAGGATAACATAGGGTGTACCCCACTCTTTCGAACCCATAGATTTTATGTTACGAATTTGTCCTTGCGAAGCCGGAATGGTGCTAGCATTGTCATGTGGTCCCTTAAAACTGACCACCATATTCAGTTCGGGATTAAGGGTCGTGTTCACCATAGCACCTTCCACACTTAGGGAATTATCAAAAGATTGGGTTAGTTTTGGATATATACTCAGAACCGTTAAGGCTTACCAGCATAGAGTGCGATGGGTCTGCCTGGGGTGAAGTAGAACATAAACCGCTTAAATCTGGTTCCATAGTAAGACTTGGGGAATCTTTGATTTGCATGGAACTTGAATTCTTCTCCACCTGCATGGGCTCTTCAAAGTGTTGGCTGCCAAGAGTGATAGAATTATGAGGAATGCTATCTGGAGTACAGGTATAGAATTATGATGAATGCTAGCTGGAGTACAGGTTGTTTTGCGAGTCCTACCTTACGAGTTTGGAATTTCTTAAACTTGGAAGTCTGCATGTTAGCTGTTCGTGGGCCATTACTTCCATTTTTGCTGGGTTCTGGATTTTGGGAATCAAGATTAGATATGGAAAACGAGCTATTGGGATTAGATAATCTCGATGAACCTGCGACTGCCTTTGATAATTTCGTAATCTCTTGAACGTCTATAGCCTTTCCTTTCGTCAAAGAATTTACACCATTTGCTTTAGCATTAATTCCCTGATTAGGCAGCTGAGATTCTATTCCGCTTATTTCGCTAGTTAGAGTTGTAAAACGAGAACCCAAGGCATTAGTTTTCTTATCGGTCTGGTTTTGTTTTGTTGGGACAGTCCGCGCACCCCATGGCGCAATGAAAACAAGCACGATGGTCTTTCTAATGATTCAAGTATGAAAACTTAGATTCGGGCGGAAGAGATACGATTACTTACATTGGGTTCCTAAAAAAAGTAATATGGCAGTGCAATCACGAACGATTCAAATCATAGTCTCCACGAAAAACGTCTCAACCTCTACTCAGTTCACCCAGTTGAAAGGAAAATTAGAGCAATTTCTTTCTCAAAACAGTTTCGAGGAATTTCGGGATTTTAGAAAAAGGGTAAAACAACTGTTTTAATCTGAATTTAATAAGGAATATAATTACCCTAATTATATTCTTTTAATTAATTCAGTATTTTAATGTGTAATTAAAATTACATGTGCATATATATATATATATATATATATATATTAACTGCACATTTTATTCATGTACAATAAATTGTACATATTAAACACATTTATAAATTGCTCTTTTCAACCATTGGGTGTGTTCCCGTAGTGTTAGCAGTAATAATTAGAACCATTCTAATATTACAAACAATGAGTGACATATAGCAATATATCATTGTTACCTAAGTTACAGGAAGTCATGTTTTGACATAACATGTCTGTGACTAACTCTTTTACTGTATTATATCCTTTTTTCTTTTATATCTAGAATAGAAACAAGTCTTGGAATAGTCACACTTGTATAGCCCATCTATTATTTCTTGATATCTATAGTAGACTATATAATAAACGAATAATTTGTGACATCTCATATCAACTTATTCGAGCATGACCATGCATTTCTAGTCTCACTCAATCAAGTGGCCTGTGATATATTTCCTATTATGTAGGAAGGACAAATCCTATCTCGATCAGTCACACCCCTCTACATATATCGTGATATGTTCAATGCCAATCTTTATAATGCAACCATTTACGGAGCACGTTTAACTGTATCAAAACATACAACAATATATGTTGAGATAATAACGATCTCAAGTTTGAGGATCATACATATAGTCATCACCATGAGCAATTGTTGTGACTATCTCATAATAACCCAAGACATATGCTCATAACTGGTCAATCGAATATATTGTTCTCTAACAACATATTCATGTATTGATTCTGACGTCTCTATGTCAATGACAATGCATTGTCATCAATCAACATCATGTTTGTTTAAAACGTATTATTATTGTCCTTCCCATAATAATACTCTACTAAGAACCTTTCAATAATAATCATATTATTATACGGACGTTATTATATTTTCGTTTATTCAATACAAAAAAATATAACAAAAAAAAAACAACAATGCCTTTATTCAATAAATGCGGTAAAGATAGTATGCCAATACAGAAACGAGTAAACGTGTTCGGCTTTGGAGGGAACACGAAAGGTTTAATCTTGCCCCTTGTCAACGATCTATAATTAATGAAGTAGCAAAATAATCCTTTAATTCATTTGATATTCAAAGAATTACAAGATTAAAACTTGATTTATTGCTCATAACTTTGGAAAACGACATAAGTTTAATTAACAAAATATCTATTGAGGAAAGAACAAAAACACGTTCAAACAGGACAAGGCCAGTGCCATAAGGTTTTACAGTGGGTGAAAGAATTTCTTGGTTCGCACCGAGAGGTCTCATTATTAAAGAGATATGCTCATGTACTAAACAAAATCTGAGCTTTGCTTCTCAGTGCCCCACATATCTCGATGATGTGCCTCAAACTTCAGACGGTGCAAACATCACGTCCATATCTCTCAATCCTCTTCTAGGAACGAGTGGGGTGACTCCGTCTTACCTCAAAACTTTTATCACAAGATTCTCCCCAAGTTACTCCCATGATCCGTGATTAAAGCATGTTGAAATACAATGTATACCATGTAATGTATAATGTATATGTGTTAATACAAAGATGCACATGCAAATGTAAAAATGAGAGTGCAAAATGCGGAATGCAAATGCAACAAGGAATTGATCCCAAAAGTAACTATTCCTTGAACAATTCTTGAAAAACCAACAATGTCTCGGTATACTGGGGAAGCGAAAATCTGGTCCATCTGTAAGTTGCCTAGCCCCTGCAAGCATCTGGGTACTACATTGTCTTCAAAGCTTCTTCTTCATCTCCTACTTTCAGAAATCTTTTAAACTGGTTCGTGTTCTTCAACTGTTAGCTTTAGCTTCAAATCATCTCGAATCCAACTTGTTACCTCATCAAGAAGATGTCTGGATCGTCAGATGTCTGGCTCATCTCCTTGGTAGGTAAACCTTCTCCTGGCCCTTCTCAATCTACGTAGAGCATCTTCAAAATTCTACCGATCCTAGTAAAAGGCATTATTGTGGCATTGTTCTTCAAGAACCTTCTAAACGATCAATAATTTAAGGGATCAATATCATTGAATGATATGTCATGTTCATGCAAAAATGCAATAAGAGCAAACAAAAGGAAATCAATGTTAGTAGAAACAAGACAAAAAGAATAAAGTTAGTTGAAATGATTAGTCCAAGAAATGTGATCTTAACAAAAATAATTAAATATGATTCAAAGCTGAGACTGAAAAACGTATAGAAAGAGAATTAATAATCCTAATCGCATGTGTTCTAGTTCTCCTACATTATCCACATGGCTCTAGCGAGGTAGGTTTACTAAATTCTCTACATGAGACTGGTATTCTAGCAAAGGTTCCCAAGCCATCTTTATAACCTGTTAAGGTTGCCCCGATTCTGGCCCATTACAGACTTGCGAATCGGGTTCATCTCAGGGGATCACATCGCTAAAAGCATACATCGGATCTGATATCCAGGTAAACAACTTAGTATGCTTTCCAGAGATACTTTATCAGACCCAGACAAAGAAGCTCAATGCTCCTCGTGGGGTGTGATGTTTCTCTCTACTTAGGTAAACCGGGTTTGAGCTCGGGTTTAGAGCTATGATATATAACAGTCTTAAATAATTTCACGGAAGTGTAAGCATCAACCAGAGAGAAAGTCTGTTTTTCCTTTTTGAAATAACATAATGAACCATAAATTAAATAAGATCGAACTCGTAATTTCCAAAGTAGTAAATATAGGGTAACCAACTCGTGGCACGCATCTCAATTTGTTTTAAAAACAAAAGCCCCCAACGGAGTCGCCAAGCTATCGACACCGTTTTTCGCCCGGGCGAGGAAAGACCGATACCGACTCGAGGGTTTTCTCTTTGAAAAGATTTTTCGAAATGTGAGGAGTCGCCACTAATCATTTAAGGTGCGATTGGGACACCATGAAAACCAGATGATTTTAATAAAACATTTTATTTTTATCAAAATAACGAGTTTTGAGGTTTTTGAAAATCCAAAAATCGGGTTCGGGAGTCAGTTACACGTGGGGAAGGATTAGCACCCACGCAAGCACTAAAAAATTGGTACGTAGTTGATTACCCTATATTTAAAATCGAAAAATTTGAATTCGATCTTTATTTATTTTGAAAATCATTACGGATGCAAAGTTGGAAAGGATATTCGTTTATTGAGACCGATAACATTCGCTCCCAAACGTAAATGCGGAAGATCAACTATTATGCCTAATAACCGAATATTGCCTCGTTGTTTGAAAATCATGATGTAGTTATTGAAAAGGATGTCGACCTATTTTGGGAATCACCAGTAGTCACACCTTGAGCACACTTGCGAGAAATATACTATTAATTCCCTAGTAAATGAACATTGCCTTAGATTTAAAAATAAAATGTAATCAAACAAATTTTTATTTAATCCTAATTAAGCTAAGGTAAATTAAAGACTTTTTCTAGTTTAAAGTGTCAAATTATAAAAATTAAAGAACCTAGGGGATTAAACCTAAAAGAGTAGGTTCTAATATTAATCCTATTTGTTTTTAAACCAATTATTGAATCGAATAATCAAGATGGTCCCTCGAGCATTTAGGCAAGGGCCAACTCGAATTATTCCCTAAATTAAAAGACTAGTTTGAAATATAATTAAAAGTGGAGTCTCTATTTAACCTATTTAATTATTTCAATATTAAAGGCCTAATCGAGGTTCGAGGACTGAATGTCAAAGATCTAGAAATACCAATTTCTAAAAGATCTAAAAGTTTAGGACCTGAATTGATAATTTCTAATGTTGAGGAATAAATCTAAACTAAAACCTAATTATTATCTAAATTATTAAACCTAAAGTATTTTAAAAAAATATTAATTATTAATAAATTTTAAAAGTCGAGCAATCAATTCGAATAATCGAGCATCTTATGTGGAAAAATTAACTCAAATTGCTCCCTAATTAATAACTAAAGTGTCGTCCTAATTTTCTAAACTTGATTCGAATATTAATCTAATTTAGATATAAATCTAAGAAAATAAACCATGAAACAAAGCAATTAATAACAAACTTAATTAAAATAAAATAAAAAAGTACAATAATAAAAAACAATAAAAAAATACATAAAAAAACTTGAAATAAACATAAATTAAAGGACCTAATTGCATAAATATAAAATGACAATGATTAAAATGCAAGAAAATGAAAGTAGCTAAATCCAAAATAAAATGTGACTAAAATGAATAAATTGCAAATATCACATCCAAATCATAATAAAATAAGAAGCAGAATATAAACAACGACTAAAATGAATAATCATAAAAAAATAATGACTAAAATAAAATGAAGTGTAGGTTAATATGCTTAAATGCGAATACAAAAAAATGCTGGAAATAAAAAAAAGGACTGAAATAAAACACAACAAAATTAAAGGGATGAAAAATTAAATGCTAAAATTTAAAGTGCTGGAAAATAAATAAAATTAAATTAAAAAACAGAAATAAATTGCATAAATTTAAAATTTAGGGATTAGTTTGTGCAATAAAATAAAAGTTAGTAGTTAGCAGAGTCCAAACCATAATAATACGGGTCTTACCCTGAATCGGGTCACCACAAGGTCGAATCGAATAATGCAAACAAATATATAAAAAAAATTAAAAATATTAGTAATTAACAGAGTCTGAACCATAATAATTTGAATCTTACCCCGAATCGAATCACACAAAATCGAATCGAATACTATAAATAAATATATAAAAATAAAATAAGTTAATGGTTAACATAGTCTGAACCACAATAATCTGGCTCATATTTCATAGATGGAAGTACCGAACAGATCATTCTATAAAACACATGTCAATTAAAGGATCCTTATTCTTCTAATTCAAGTCCAGTAACTCAAAAACAATATTAAAATCCTAGGAAACAAATCAATATAAATAACAAGAATTTATAAGGAAAACATATATAAATATGGGCAATCTAAATTCAGAATTGTTCAAAAGAAAATAAATCAAGCCGACGAAATGAACACAAAACAACAGAATTAAAATTACCTCATCTCTGAATATCTGTTCTTTCCACGTACAACACTATAAATTTACCTGCGAAGCAAAGTCATCAAGTCATTAACAAAATCGAAAAAAAATGACTAAACAAAATTAGATCTGAGAACAAATGAGAGTTTGTACGCACAGCAGTTAACAGAGGAGAGAAAACCCTAGCCGCGAATTGAGTTTAGTGGCTGAAGATAAAATATATAGGGGTATCAATGATAAACCCTAGCTATTGTAATAAACTGAAACTGGGCCAACTGCCGGTCTAGACCGAATTCATTTGGGCTCAGAGTTGGTTTGATTTGGCATGTCCATTGTAATGTTTTGTTAGCTGAGGATGGTCTCGAGTCGACGTCAACAACAATGGGTATTGTGTGAATTTTATTGTGACATAACAATTAATATTAATTAGCTTGACTTTTAATATACCTAGCTATATGTATAGAGTCCTATAATGGGACTCTTGGATCAGGAATATGAAAGGGCTTAATTTAAAATACCCCTTATTACTATAATATTATGAATAAAGTGTATTGTGATTTTATGCCTAAATCAGTTCCCCTTATTAGTAATATTATGCATATATTATATTATTTATTAAACATACAAATTGGCCCCCTTATTTTGGAGCATTAGCTGCTGGGCGGGCGAGGTTTTTTCTTAATTTTATTAATATAATTTAATAAATAAAATTATTAATAATTAAATATGTAAAATTATTATATATAAAATAAAATAAATGTAACCGGATACTCGGGTAACCGGGTACTCGAAAAAAAATGTAATTTTGTGATTCGGACCCGACCCTAGAAATGTTGGGTTGGGTATCAGGTATTTTTTTAGATAGTTATCCGTTTTTTTAGTTCGATTCAACGGGTTGGGTCAACCAGGTCGGACATTTTTAAACACCCCTAATATTAACTAACCATTTCTTTAAAAACCGGAATATAAAAAACCACTTAATAATGAAAATATAATTATAGAAGAAAATGATAAAAAAAAACTCAATTAAAAAACTTAGAAGAAATCTTTCGAATAAATTTTACTATTGACAACGAAAGATAAACATCAGAAATACTAATATAAAAATGAATAATGACCATGACAACCTAATGACAATTAATCTATCATAATTCAAGCATCATCTATATGGGTTTATTGAAATCACCAACCAATATGAGATAATTAATATGAGAATCCAAATTATAGAGATCAACAAGATAGCTGAATAATCGTCAAATGGAGAGGTGATCTCGAATTAAATTTTGGGGGAAAATCTATCATTTTCATTAAAAAATAAGAATATTTATTGAACAAAATAACATAAAATTTAATTATGTAAAATTAAAAACTAAAGAGATTGAAAAGAGAAAAAGAGTAATAAGAGAAGATGAAGGAAAATATAGTGAGAGTTATGACTAAGCGTGATGGTTGTTGAATAAATTGACTGAGTTGAATCGAATCAGATAACCAAATGAATACTAATCAAACGAATACTAATCATTAAAGATACCCATTTAATTGAATACTAATCAAACGAATACTAATAGGTATGTTCATATTCGTTCGTTTAATTTTAATTGAATAAATAAACAAATACGAACAACTAAACATACCAAATTTCTTGATCGTGTTCATTCATTTATAAATGTAACTTGTTCGTATTCGTTTATGTTCGTTCGTTAAAATAATAAACTAACATAGATGAACCATTAATCGTTAACCAACCGAACTCAAAAATTAACCGACCGAAATTTTGGTTCGGTTGGTTAATTCGTTTTTAATCAAATAGTGAATACCCCTAGTTTAGGGTTTGCAACATGGACATTTAAAAAATTAAATATTTTAATTCAATTTGATGTCAAAATTTTTATTCGATTCAACTAATTTTTAAATAAATTTAAGTTATAAAATAAGACTCGAATAACTTAAAAATTTTAGTAAATAGCGGATCGATTTTTAAGTCCGAGTTGATTATCTTAACTCTGCATGATATATATATCACATATGAAAGAATATGAATATATATATATATATATATATATATATATATATATCAAAGGAGCAAACATATATGAATAAACATAAACGAATGAATTATCATACATTTATGAACATAATCAATGAACGAGTCATTTATTCGTGTTAGTTCATTTAATTAAATGAATATAAAATCTAATTCATATTCGTACGTTTAATAAATAAACGAATATAAAATATAATTAATGTTCATACGTTTAATAAACAAATGAATTTCCCGTCGAACGATTAAAAAAATAATTCGTTCAACGTTCGGTTATTTACGGGCCTACTCAAAGGAAGCTGTGAGTTATTAATAATTGAGGCGATGCCCGTGCGATGTGTGTTGTGTGGTAAACATACACATGTAATAATGTCAAAATCAGTGGCAACTAGCTATCATACCATTGCATCTATGGATTAATTTTAATTTAATCAGGTTACTCCATATAATATTTTTAAAAAAATATATAAGTGGAATTAATTTTTTAATATTTACTATTTTTATTTATAACATTAAATTGCCTGTCTTCTTTAAGGGTGTGTTTGGTTCACGGAATGTAAGATTACTAGTAGGAATAAAAGATTACCAGTGAATAAGATTACTGGGAATGTTGTATTTTGTGTTTGGTTAGTTTAGCATGAATATAAGATTACCGAGTTTGGTTAAAGGAATAAAAGATTATTGGAATGTATATTTGACCAAATTGTCCTTATTATATATTTGTTTTTTTAACAAGTTGAAAAATATTTATATATTTTCTTTAAAAAATTTAAATCCAGAAAATTTATATAATTTTTTTACAAAATTGGAAATATAAAAAGGTTTAATGAAAGGGTAAAATTTTATTTTAACCCCTGAACTTCATATAAAATTTTAATCATAAACTTTTTTTGTAAATCTAAAATAGTTTAAGGATAAATTTGTAATTTAACCTTCGTAGAATTTTTATTATTCAATGACACAAGAATGATATTTGAAAAACAATTAAGGGCATTTTAGTCCAAAACGTCGGTAATCCAACAATACATAAGGGATTGAGGGTAATGACATTCCTGGTAATATACCCCAAAAAATCCACTATTGGTAATAAAACATTACCGGGAATGAGATTTCCGACCAACCAAACGGGGGAATGTGGATTCCATTCCCATGGGAGTCCCACATTCCCCGAACCAAACAGCCCCTAAGTATTTTTAGCATAGGATGTTTCCCCTCCCTCTTGCTCTATAGATGGATTGAAATGGCATATTCAACACATGTAGCTATAGTGACTTATTGGCTTAACTACAACTCTATGGTGGCGAACCCAGAAAATTTTATAGATTGGGCTAATATCAAAATAATAAATTTTATCTAAAATAATTTGTATAATTGTATTTTTTTAATTTTAAAATATAATAACAATTATATAAATATATTGATTAAATCTAGAAAAATATTAAATTGGTCAATATAATTTTTTAACATAATTCATATATGTTTTTTTATTTAGGGTAAACTAACTATTTGGTCACCCTTCTATTACTTAATTTATGGTTTGGTCACTCAACTATTATTTTTTAAATCATAGCTAATTTTACATTTTGGTTCTATTTTGATCACTCACCATTAAAAAAGTTAACGATTTTAACATGACATTTTTTTAAATTATTTTTCAATCATAATATGATATTATCTTATTATGATACAACAACATCACTGTTAAAAATGAGTGACCAAAATAGAACCAAAACATAAATTAAGTGTGATTTAAAATAAATAATAATTATATGACCAAAATAAAAAGTAAATAATTAATGAGTGATTCAATAAGTAATTTATCCATGGGGGCAATGGCCTAGGTAGGCCTAAGCTTGGACCTGCCCGTCTACTAATATAATATTAATTACTTGGTGATAATTAAAGAGCACACAAGAAAATGACATTGTATTATATTTCAAAGTCTAGTATACCTACTAATTTTCACTTTAATAAATAATTCAATAAAAAATATGTCCCATTATTTATTGACAAGCATTATTTATTTATTTATTTGCATAAAAGAGTTGGTGTTTTATAGAAGTAATAAATTAAAAAATTAATGTAACATGTAGTTTGGGTGTGGTTCGATTAATACAAAGTACTAAAAGACATATGCTTACTTTAATATTTGTTTTAAATATGAAAAAAATCCTAAGATTTTACTTGAATTGGTGTGAATATTATATTTCTCCATGTACCTTTTCGGTCACATTCCAACTGTTGAGATTTAAAAGAAAATGTTTAATCATCGAAAAATTAAAAGAAATTCAAAATTAGAATTTTTTCAGTAAAACATAAAAAAATAAAGGTAAATTATACTGTTCCTCATTGTACTTTACTCCCTATCCTATTTTGTTCACCGAACTTTCAATTTTTCTAAATTACTCATTAAACTTTACAAATTGAATCAATTTGCTCACTCCCCCGTTTTTTCTCTAACGACTATTGACGTGGCATTTTTTAATATTATTTAATAGAAAATAACTAAAAATATAAAATAAAAATAGAAGGTGGTCGGATGCCACTGTCGGCCACTGACGACCGTCGTAGATGGTGGTCGTTTGGTCCCAAAATAGGATGGGTTGCTTCGCCTCAACGTCGTGAGTTTCAAATCTGACCTCCATTTTGTCGGAAGTTGCTCTAAACTCCATGAATTTGAGATTCAAAATGAGAAAATCGAAATATTTCAGTCCAAATTCACGGGTTTTGGGACATTTTCTGACAAAACAACCACCCGATCCGGACTTAGGGGGATGAACCGACCCATCCTATTTTGAGACCGAACGACCACCATCTACGATGGTCGACGATAGCCAGAATGAAAATGACATGGTGGTCGGCAGAGAGAAAATGGAGAATAGAAGGAAAAAGGGTAAATTACACCATAAGTCATTAGGAAAATGGTAAATTACACCATGAGTCATTAAACTTTACTCTATCTCATATTTACTCACTAAAATGATGTAGTTTCAGAGTATATTTGATTTTTTCAAAATGAAGTCGTTTTGATTCATGTTCGACGTCATAATGTTGTTAAGAAATAACGGTAGAGTGAGAAAAATGATTTAATATGTAAAGTTCAGTGAACACATTATAAAAATTGAAAGTTCGATGAGCAAAATAGGAGAGAGAGTAAAGTAGAGTGAGGAACAGTGTAATTTACCCAAATTTTAAAATTAAATATAAACTAATCTCGACTGGATGCAATCTACGAACAAGCCCACTTCCGAAGATCAGTGTAGTGGGGCTGGGTGAA